GGAAACTTCAAAGCTTCCGCGCTTCGCGCGAGAGGGGGAAACTGAATTCAGACAAAATTAATAGGGCTTATTTAGAGTCGAAAACGGTACAACGAATCGTGTTCTTTCTCTAATAATTTGAGGAAACATCAAAGCTTTCGCGCTTCGCGCGAGAGGGGTAAACTGATTTCAGATGAATAGGGCTTAATAAGATTCGAAAACGGTACGACGAATCGTCTTCTGCTCTAATAATTTAGGGAAACGTCAAAGCTTCCGCGCTTCGCGCGAGAGGGGGAAACTGAATTCAGACAAAATTAATAGGGCTCATTTAGAGTCGAAAACGGTACAACGAATCGTGTTCTTTCTCTAATAATTTGAGGAAACATCACAGCTTTCGCGCTTCGCGCGAGAGGGGGAAACTGAATTCAGATGAATAGGGCTTAATAAGATTCGAAAACGGTACGACGAATCGTCTTCTGCTCTAATAATTTAAGGAAACTTCAAATCTTCCGCGCTTCGCGCGAGAGGGGGAAACTGAATTCAGACAAAATTAATAGGGCTTATTTAGAGTCGAAAACGGTACAACGAATCGTGTTCTTTCTCTAATAATTTGAGGAAACATCAAAGCTTTCGCGCTTCGCGCGAGAGGGGTAAACTGAATTCAGATGAATAAGGCTTAATAAGATTCGAAAAACGGTACGACGAATCGTCTTCTGCTCTAATAATTTAGGGAAACGTCAAAGCTTCCGCGCTTCGCGCGAGAGGGGGAAACTGAATTCAGACAAAATTAATAGGGCTTATTTAGAGTCGAAAACGGTACAACAAATCGTGTTCTTTTTCTAATAATTTAAGGAAACGTCAAAGCTTCCGCGCTTCGCGCGAAAGTGGGAAACTGAATTCAGACTAATAGGGCTTACTAAAAGTCGAAAACGTTACAACGAATCGTGTTCTTTCTCTAATAATTTGAGGAAACGTCAAAGCTTTCGCGCTTCGCGCGAGAGGGGTAAACTGAATTCAGACAAAATTAATAGGGCTCATTTAGAGTCGAAAACGGTACAACGAATCGTGTTCTTTCTCTAATAATTTGAGGAAACATCACAGCTTTCGCGCTTCGCGCGAGAGGGGGAAACTGAATTCAGATGAATAGGGCTTAATAAGATTCGAAAACGGTACGACGAATCGTCTTCTGCTCTAATAATTTAAGGAAACGTCAAAGCTTCCGCGCTTCGCGCGAGAGGGGGAAACTGAATTCAGACAAAATTAATAGGGCTCATTTAGAGTCGAAAACGGTACAACGAATCGTGTTCTTTCTCTAATAATTTGAGGAAACATCAAAGCTTTCGCGCTTCGCGCGAGAGGGGTAAACTGAATTCAGATGAATAGGGCTTAATAAGATTCGAAAACGGTACGACGAATCGTCTTCTGCTCTAATAATTTAAGGAAATGTCAAAGCTTCCGCGCTTCGCGCGAGAGGGGGAAAGTGAATTCAGACAAAATTAATAGGGCTCATTTAGAGTCGAAAACGGTACAACGAATCGTGTTCTTTCTCTAATAATTTGAGGAAACATCAAAGCTTTCGCGCTTCGCGCGAGAGGGGTAAACTGAATTCAGATGAATAGGGCTTAATAAGATTCGAAAACGGTACGACGAATCGTCTTCTGCTCTAATAATTTAAGGAAACGTCAAAGCTTCCGCGCTTCGCGCGAGAGGGGGAAAGTGAATTCAGACAAAATTAATAGGGCTTATTTAGAGTCGAAAACGGTACAACGAATCGTGTTCTTTCTCTAATAATTTGAGGAAACATCAAAGCTTTCGCGCTTCGCGCGAGAGGGGTAAACTGAATTCAGATGAATAGGGCTTAATAAGATTCGAAAGCGGTACGACGAATCGTCTTCTGCTCTAATAATTTAAGGAAACTTCAAATCTTCCGCGCTTCGCGCGAGAGGGGGAAACTGAATTCAGACAAAATTAATAGGGCTTATTTAGAGTCGAAAACGGTACAACGAATCGTGTTCTTTCTCTAATAATTTGAGGAAACATCAAAGCTTTCGCGCTTCGCGCGAGAGGGGTAAACTGAATTCAGATGAATAAGGCTTAATAAGATTCGAAAAACGGTACGACGAATCGTCTTCTGCTCTAATAATTTAGGGAAACGTCAAAGCTTCCGCGCTTCGCGCGAGAGGGGGAAACTGAATTCAGACAAAATTAATAGGGCTTATTTAGAGTCGAAAACGGTACAACAAACCGTGTTCTTTTTCTAATAATTTAAGGAAACGTCAAAGCTTCCGCGCTTCGCGCGAAAGTGGGAAACTGAATTCAGACTAATAGGGCTTACTAAAAGTCGAAAACGTTACAACGAATCGTGTTCTTTCTCTAATAATTTGAGGAAACGTCAAAGCTTTCGCGCTTCGCGCGAGAGGGGTAAACTGAATTCAGACAAAATTAATAGGGCTCATTTAGAGTCGAAAACGGTACAACGAATCGTGTTCTTTCTCTAATAATTTGAGGAAACATCACAGCTTTCGCGCTTCGCGCGAGAGGGGGAAACTGAATTCAGATGAATAGGGCTTAATAAGATTCGAAAACGGTACGACGAATCGTCTTCTGCTCTAATAATTTAAGGAAACGTCAAAGCTTCCGCGCTTCGCGCGAGAGGGGGAAACTGAATTCAGACAAAATTAATAGGGCTCATTTAGAGTCGAAAACGGTACAACGAATCGTGTTCTTTCTCTAATAATTTGAGGAAACATCAAAGCTTTCGCGCTTCGCGCGAGAGGGGTAAACTGAATTCAGATGAATAGGGCTTAATAAGATTCGAAAACGGTACGACGAATCGTCTTCTGCTCTAATAATTTAAGGAAATGTCAAAGCTTCCGCGCTTCGCGCGAGAGGGGGAAAGTGAATTCAGACAAAATTAATAGGGCTCATTTAGAGTCGAAAACGGTACAACGAATCGTGTTCTTTCTCTAATAATTTGAGGAAACATCAAAGCTTTCGCGCTTCGCGCGAGAGGGGTAAACTGAATTCAGATGAATAGGGCTTAATAAGATTCGAAAACGGTACGACGAATCGTCTTCTGCTCTAATAATTTAAGGAAACGTCAAAGCTTCCGCGCTTCGCGCGAGAGGGGGAAAGTGAATTCAGACAAAATTAATAGGGCTTATTTAGAGTCGAAAACGGTACAACGAATCGTGTTCTTTCTCTAATAATTTGAGGAAACATCAAAGCTTTCGCGCTTCGCGCGAGAGGGGTAAACTGAATTCAGATGAATAAGGCTTAATAAGATTCGAAAAACGGTACGACGAATCGTCTTCTGCTCTAATAATTTAGGGAAACGTCAAAGCTTCCGCGCTTCGCGCGAGAGGGGGAAACTGAATTCAGACAAAATTAATAGGGCTTATTTAGAGTCGAAAACGGTACAACAAATCGTGTTCTTTTTCTAATAATATAAGGAAACGTCAAAGCTTCCGCGCATCGCACGAGAGGGGTAAACTGAATTCAGATGAATAGGGCTTAATAAGATTCGAAAACGGTACGACGAATCGTCTTCTGCTCTAATAATTTAGGGAAACGTCAAAGCTTCCGCGCTTCGCGCGAGAGGGGGAAACTGAATTCAGACAAAATTAATAGGGCTCATTTAGAGTCGGAAACGGTACAACGAATCGTGTTCTTTCTCTAATAATTTGAGGAAACATCAAAGCTTTCGCGCTTCGCGCGAGAGGGGTAAACTGAATTCAGATGAATAAGGCTTAAAAAGATACGAAAACGGTACGACGAATCGTCTTCTGCTCTAATAATTTAAGGAAACGTCAAAGCTTCCGCGCTTCGCGCGAGAGGGGGAAACTGAATTCAGACAAAATTAATAGGGCTTATTTAGAGTCGAAAACGGTACAACAAATCGTGTTCTTTCTCTAATAATTTAAGGAAACGTCAGAGCTTTCGCGCTTCGCGCGGGAGGGGGGGGGGGGACTTCATTCAGCCTAGGATTACCAGTCGAAAACGGTACAATTAATCGTCTTCTTTTCCTAATAATTTAAGGAAACGTCGAAGCTTCCGCGCTTCGCTTGGGGAGAGGGTGCAACCTGCCACACGCTTCTACCTCTTGGTTGCTTTTATCCATTGCCGAAAATATTTTGGCACCTTTCATCCCCCCCCCCCCAACCACGGATACAAATCGACATTCTTGCTTGCGATTGATTTGCATCAATCGTAACTCTTTGTATTAAAGACGGGGCCTAGGGAGGTGATAGAGAAGGAGCGGAAACTCTGTAATAATTTTGCTCAAACGCATACGCGATTTCTAAAGAGTAACAAATTAACAATGGAACGCGTAAAGTTTGTGTGATGTGATGATATTTACCACTGACTTTTTTTCCTCTGAAATGTTTACACTGAGCCATAGGCTTATATGGCCATCCTGTGCCCTCGGCTACGCCTAAGATTTATATTGTATTTTGTCAGGTAATACACAATTAAAGTAAAACAAGTGTCAAAATGGATATTCATTATTATTCCTTACTATGTCTATTATTTTTGTTAATTTGTTTGATCAAAGCTAAAAAACATTATGTTTACAACAAGTAAAGAAGTAAAGTGGGCCCGAGAGTGAAGTGAATATTATTCATGATTGTACAGTATGATCAGGGACCGGTAAATAGACTAAATTCTTTGCCTATTGTATACACACTTTATATTAGAACCAAACAGTTGCGCTCAATGAGGGATTAGTCCAGCTTCATTATAATAGGGTGAAAGTAGGACATATATTGATCTACATTGTGTCAAATCTCAATGATGACCACTCCAAAAAGAAAATGAACCGGTAAAGAACCTAGGCCATGCAGTTCCTCGAACTTGTCAAAAGTCCCAAGTTCTTGGACATGTCAGGAAGTAACTCACACTTCATTCTCTGGGTTCACAAACGTATGACTGTTTCGGGAAACTGGCCTCTGGTTACTTTAAAATTTTAAAAAAAGTTATACATGACCCTGCCTTTGATCGATTTGCTTGTTTCTCCTCAGGTATCTTTATCATCCTTTCAATGGCATGCTGTCTCTCTTCTGCCCAAGCATCGCTTGAGAATGATGACATCCCAAGCTCGATCATGATGTCATTTTGGAATGATTGGATAGGAGAGAATATTCTACCATCAATCAGAGATGGAGAGGTATCTAACGGGTCACAATGTTCCCAGGAACTTGAGAAAATATTCACTGAAGGCGGAAAGAAGCGAAATATTAGTAAGTCCAAGCAGGGGTGAATTTACAATATTGTCAAAAGGGGTGGAGTAGCACAATTTCGAAAAACATACTGACAATTTAATTGTTGTGTACATCAGATATTTCTTTTTTAAGGTGGGGGGGGGGGGGGGATGGCCCTGTTTTACACCTCCGGTATAGTATAGAATACTATAGTATAGAATAGTATAATGTAGAGAATTGCTCCAATTGTCCCGTCAGGTTTAATGGTATACGTATAAAAGTAGTATATTTTTGATATAAATCAATCATAGATCCGTTGTACTGTGACAAATTTGCACTGCGCACTAATTTTTTTTCCTTTTTAACAGTGCGTCTCGGAAAAAATGAAACCGAGAATTATCGATGTTTTATCATAACTTAATCACAATTATAATTAATGAATAACACATATTTGTAAAGCTTAGATCTTTCTCTTTCATTAAATGCAACTCATTATGATGCATATTTCATGCATGAGTGATTAAAATCTATTTAAAGAGAGGATACCAAAAAGTCATTTGGCGGACGGTATCTGAATTTCAAGAGAAAATCACATGTCTAGAAAGTTCACTTTCTGCCCTTTATTATGACACCTCAATCAGGAAAAATGACATAGTTTTCTAATTTTACAGACCTATTAATGTATCGTTGTTTTAACATGATATCTATTATACGAAAAACTTACTGGGACGTCCGGTGTTCAGGCTACTTTTGGACAGACTAGCCTGGCTAAAGGTATAAGATGATTAATGAATTCAAATTGTCTGGCTTTAATTTCTCTTTCTAGTTGTAGATGCGACTGGTAAACCATCTTCTGGTATCCTGGAGGGTAACATTGCTTGGTTAGGTGACTACAGACAGTGTGTAGATACAACAGATCTTCACTATTGTCTCATTTCAGCACCAATACAATTACAGTCAGTCAGCAATCGGGTAGGAAAACTTTCCTCACTACATCTCTCATATATAATTAAACAGAAGACGGATTTTTGTTTAGGTTTAGAGGAAGGGGTGTCGAAAACAAAATTCGCTAACATTTTTTTTGTTATTGTCTCCCTTTCTTGGTGAGAGTGAGCACTGCATTATTTTTTCACAATATCCCATCCCGTTCAATTCAGTTTAACCAGCCAACCAACCAAGTGCAATGTGGTCAATAATGTTAATATTGGCACAGCGAAGGTTCAGCCTGTTGAGGGGGCACGTAGAAATTGGCCAATATAAAAATACAACGTAGCATGGATCACTCTTCAAAGAATTTAACTTCAAACTTTTCCTAAGAATGGTATCTCTAAAATGAAAGGATAATTCGATTTATTTTTTTAAGAAGTGGATCACGATGTTGTACTTTCTTTATTTTCGTTTGGAATAAAATTTCTCCAAAATACTCTTTCTTTAATGAAATTTCTGATCACCACTCAACGTTTAATATTTATGGCATATTATTGTTTGATTCCTATTTATAGATGAGTGGATCTCTATCAGTAGGTGTTTGCCTTCCCGATGAATGTATGGAGAAGGAAATATCACTCTTTTCCCGGTTCATCAGTGAGTAGAACATTATGTTACATGCTGTTTTCCGGAAGTTCGTTTTCCGAAGGTTCGTTACTCCGAATGGTCGTAATTCTGAACAAAGATGGCGCTCCGTGGGGGGGGGGGGGGGGGGCAAGGGGGTACAATGCCCCCATCATTTCTAGTACACATGCAGTGCCCATTTTGCCTAGGAAATTGTTACTTTTTACGTTTTACCTTTTCTTTCTAATGAGTGTCCTCATTTTAATACTTTATATACATGATCTCCCACAAATTGCGAAATTAAATATTTAAACTGTTATAGTAGTCCGAATAAGTGATAAGTTTCCCATATGCAACAAACGAACCAGTCATACCCCAAAATCAGGCAAACACGTTATCAGTAGGACACATTCTGATGTATATTTTTTGTTGTGTGCTTGCCCGACAAAATATAGGCCTTTTTCGTAATGTAACCAAATTTAATGCATAAGTCTTTGTGAAGTTCCTCAATACAAATGTTTTCATTCACCTGATAAGAATAATAGTATTTCAATAGTCAGAATGTAAACTGCAGATATTAAGTGTTGCTAGGTAGGTCAAGCCATATTAGGGACTTTTAGATTTGCGTGGACTGATACGTGTGACGTCAATTCAAGGCAGTGCATTAAAAGGACGTCGATCGTAGCAATCCCCATTGTCTTCATGCGAATCTAAAAGTCCCTAATGTTTGTCCAACCTGGCAACAACTAATATATGCAATTCGGATTCTGTCAATTGAAATACTATTATTCTTATCAGGTGAATGAAATAATTTGTATTGAGGCACTTCACAAAGACGTATGCATTAAAATTGGTTACATTACGAAAATGGCCTATTAACATGCATGCACGAGCCGTATCGTGTCCAGCTTACACAATCTATGTGCATGCGTCGTTGACTCTCAACAGCAGAACAAAACCGTATCCGGACACCTACCTCCTGGACATTCACCCCCCGGATAACCACCCCCAATCAACTACCCCCAGGACAACTAGTAGTTGTCTGGGGTAGTTGTCCGGGGGTAGTTGTCCGGGGGTAGTTGCCCGGGGGATAGTTTTTCCTAGGGGGTCGTTGTCCTAGGGGAAAGTTGTCCTAGTAGGTAGTTGACACGGAGCGGTTATCCGGGGGGCCGGGGGTGGATGTACAGGAGTAGGTGTCCTATAAGCGACCAAAACAACCTATGTATTGTGTTTGACCTAAGATGAAGTTGGGATTCCGTTTAGTGTATGAATTTTTTCAGCCTAAAAATTTGATTGTGAGAAGTTTTGAAGAAACAGACGGATGTAAATATATGACTGTAGAAATTCATAAAATATGTACCTGAATTTCAGAACTAATGTCCGGAGACTTGATCGGGGAAATACGAGTGATCTGCAATGAGAAAATGAACCCATCTGGTGATCCTGGATTCATTTGCACAATGTAAGCAACAATTAAAATCTTTATATTTATTACTCTTTGCTTATTTTACTTTACTATTGTTCCTAAACATTATGTCATGTACATTTTAATTTTTGTTGTAACAGCGCTCTGATCAGTTCGTTGTAAAAGCGGTAAAAAGAAAACAATTACTCTCATTATTATTATCATTATTGTTATTATTGTTATTATTATCTTTATGATTATTAATATTATGATAATGACAATCATTATTATTATCACCAGGCATTGGTATCAGTATTATTATTGTTGTTGTTGTTGTTAATTATGTTTCTGTTGTTATTATTAAATGTTCTGAGAACTTAGCTTAACATGTTTATAATCACACGTTCGTTCAGTTCGGTTTAGCTAAGCCCCGTTCATTCAAGACCGATCCATTTCATTTTAATTTTGTTTCCACTATACCTTGCCAAAATTATGTTGATGGGAATGCTTGTTGGCAGGGGTCAAAATCACCCTCTTCGCAAAAATAATTCCTTTTGAATTTCTGTCTGTTGTTCCTATTCAAAGGGTCGTCATTTCGCTGCTCTGTATGCTGTGTCTCAGTGCAACTGCGTATGAAAGTTATCGGAATCATCTAAACAGCTTCGATGAAGAGAGAAAACCAATCCTTCAAGTTAAGACGTCAAAGATCCCCTGTAACATTGACCAATCAGATAATTATAAAGGTTAATATTCTTTTCCTTTTCCCAGAGGGTAGCTGTGAGGGTAAATAATAATTGTGTGCAAGGAAATATAATTATGTGTCCTCCAGAAGGGGATTTCCAAGAGTTAGTTAGACTATCCATGTAAATATTTATGTATAAAAAGGCATATATAGGCCGTACATATCCCCCACAAAATAGTCAATAAATAAATGAATAAACAAAACAATACTGGTCGGAAAAATCATCTTCATCTGATAGAGACAGATTAAAATTGCTTCTTATCGGCTCTAGAATACATTCATTTCTTATACGTGAGGCATTTGTACCATTTTCCACTTTACTAGTACGTGTATTAGTAATATTTGCGTGATGGGAGCCCGCCCCCCCCCCCCCACCACCACTCAGTGTTATTTACGGTACGCGTATATAAGCATGTTCCCCCTTTTGAAAACACCCCCCTAAGTCCGGTGTGTAAAGTCAATACGGGCCGATTTTGTGTGTGTTACAAGCCGGGCTTTGCTGCGTGAAAAGTACCCCTTTACCGGACATTTGGGAACATGAATGCGGTCCCTCCGTTCCCGGAGTGGGGTTTGGGGGGGGGGGGATTCTTAGGGCCTACTTTTTTAGATACGGAGTACAATCATTGTCTAGTTGTTCGTTATGGTGTTTGTCCGGGGTAGTTGGGGGAGTTTAGATATCTCTTTTCGTAGATAAAAGAGCTTTTGAAATGACCTCTCAAAAGATCTTGGAGAGGTAAACTTCATAAGGGTATAATGCGAAAATATAGGAAGTAGTATGTGCATGGCAGTAGCGTACACAGGATTTTTTCAAGGGGGGGGGGGTTAACATTTTTAAATCGGGCCGACAATTTCGCAACGACTCAACCAACCGCTGAATAAGCGGGGGGGGGGGGGGGAAGAATTTCTTTTGGTCCAAAAAATTTCGCAACGACTCAGCCAGCCGCTAAATAAGCGGGGGTTGGGGGGGGGGGGGGGGGTAAGAGGACTTTTGGTTTTTTTTTGTTTGGTCCCAAAAATTTGAAAATTTGACCGATCGACATTTTGTTCCGTTTGGGGGGGGGGGTAAGGTCACCTCTTTTAGGTCACCATTAGCATAATAAAAAAGAACTAAACTCAAGGGGGAGGAGGGGGGAGGGGGTTGCTCCAAAATACACACATACAAAAATGAAGGGGGGGGGGGGTTAACCCCCAAAACACCCCTGCGTACGCGCCTGGTGTATGGAGTCAGTGTGGGTGTATGTAATGGTTGACGCTTTAGAAACCACGCTTGTAAAGAATACGTAATCGGTAATCCAATACATCAGTAAAATAGAAAACGGTAATATTATTGTAAAGCGTTAATTCTTGTTCTTTATAGATCTATCAGCATGGAGGAGATGTATCCTCTGTTTTTCTCTGACCCGCTCTGTGAATCAGATCACTAACACGACATCAGGGAAGGATGATATCCAATGTCTTCATGGAATGAGAGTTATAAGCATGTTCTGGATAATTCTCGGACATTCATTCAGTTTCCAACAAAACTCGGGTGCATTGGGTAAGCATAATATGGAAGCAATTGTATCACAGAAATATTTGAGTGAAGGTTTTGTTGTGTTTGATGCATGCAGTTGATTTACATAATACACCCTATCTTGAGCATCCTAATACTCACATTTTATGTGCTCAGAGAGGTTGGGTATAGCTTGACGGTGAATGTTCAAATTGTAATTCGCACAATGTTGCATGCAATCTTTCCTGAATCTTATTTATGTTTCTATTTAACTTGAATGCATGCAAATTAATCTATAAGGTTTTGTGAAATTCTATTCCGAACTTACTTTTTCTTTTTCTTCAGCTGATGTTATGTGGGCGTACTCATTCCCAGCTAAATGGTTCACAAGTCAGGTACTTTATAATGCCTATATCGCCTTAGATACCTTCTTTTTCCTCGGGTAAGTTGCAAACATGAATATAGTAATTGAAATTTCGTTATACACATGTTTGCACGAAATGATAGTCGACATTAAAAAAAAAAGATAAACGGATAGCATTGTTTGTGGTATTAAAAGAATGAACTAGACAATGATTTTCTTATTAGAGTATTTCATTCGAAGTGTTATTTTGTTTTGCTATTCGAATATTTTCCAGGTTATATACATAACAATAAAGAAGACAGAGAATGAGTGAAATAACAAGTTTGTAAATATTGATATCAAATGATTATCATTGAAGTGATTCAATAGCGGTAGTTACAAAAAGGTCATGGATTGAACAAAATATTTGATTTGCTGAGAAATTGAACAAATCAATGAAGCACCCGTACACTGTTAAAAAGGAAAAACAATGGTTACGTACCACCAACTTTTGGACAGTATGTTTATTCGCGATTTTGCTTCAATTAAAAGTGAACAGGCAAAACATCAAATTTATGCTCGAAATCGCGCTTCAACGTTGGTCTGACAGATATTAATCTACAATGCCATTTAGCGACACCAGTGCATGTATGATCAAATCTCTTTGTGTGAATCTCTTTACCCGCTAATTGTTATTGTGTAACTTACAGGTAATTATGATTAAGCGCCATGAGCACCGAAAGGTGGACCTGTGCGCTATACAAGTAGCCACTATTATTATTATTATTATTGGAATAAAATAATACTTCTTTTACATTTAACAGCGGCCTTCTTGTTGCCTATACGAGCTTCAAATACATGTCAAATTCGATAGGAAGAGTCAACTGGTTGGTCGCAATAGTACATCGATATATCAGGTAACATTTTATTCAGTCATTTCTGTACAATTATTATCATTATTATTATTGTTTCCATTGCATGATGAGATCGTGATAAGCTTGACATCATTATTGATTAATTCATGTTATTGAAACTATGTGCACATACGTATGCCAACATATTTCCCAAGAGATAGCCAAGTTTTTAACTTTTTTTTTAAATACGACATGGTTTAGAAGTCATTAAGCATCATTGAATTTTCCTCTTACTTACTCGAAAAAAGGAAATACATTCTAGAGAATCTTTTTCTCAGTCATATTTGTAAACATGTTAAACAAAGGATTCGAAGCTAAACTTAATGTAATTATTGAATTATTTTTTTACCAAAAGCACAACAAAGTAGTTTCAAGTCTGATTGTAACATAAAAAGTAACATAAAAATGCTATAACTTTTTTTTTTGACAGGATAACCCCAGCGATGGCAGTTGTAATTCTTTTATACACCTTTGTGTATCCTTACCTTGGAGAGGGACCTTTCTGGTACAAACGAATAGAAGATACTCAAGATTGTTACCAGTGGTGGTGGACCAACTTTCTTTATATCAACAATTTTGTACCATCAAATACATCGAGCGGGGTATGACTGCATTCTATTTTACTCCTATTCTTATAGAACGAACGAGCGGTAGATTTTTAGCATTTGTCACCCTCAAACATGCAATTTCTTATTTATTGTGCATTTTACCGACTACGGACATATTGTCAGGGGGATAGAGGGGGGGGGGGGCAAAGACCTCTTGGCCGAATATTAACCATCCTGTGTAAACATTTCGCGAGCGAGCAATAAAATAAAAACCTTCATTATGGGAAAAATGTAATACATATACTTCATCAAAAAACGCTTCATGAGAAACCAAATCAACTTCTGGCACCTCTCTGCCCGAATACAAGGTGATGGTTTTCCGAATATTGAATCCCATGTAATCGAACTGTAGAATTTATATAATAATTTATTATCCATATTAGGAAATTTGGTTTCCACTGGTTACAAAGTAATACAATACAAGTATATAATTTAATATTACAGGACAGTGATAAATATACACATAATTATGATAAACATATAATGAATGAGGTAATAAATGAGTAGGCCAAGGTATATAGGGTGGTAAAAGAGATAATATCAGACTCTATTTACAAAATATGAAGCTGAATTATTATTCAATATGATTATTCCATAGTAAATCTTAAAATGATAATAAATACATAACTTATTATTGTTAAATCGCTGCGTAGGCCAATTTGTAGTCCAGTCAGATTATGAAATGACAAAAAACAAATTGCCAAACTTCCATTTTAACTACATTTACTTAGGACTAGCTTCCATATCAGCATACTAAAAGTTTAGGAAAATGAAGTTGTGGAACCATGTCTAATTTGCATAAATTAAAAATGGCCGCCATTAAGGTATACCGTTTTTTTAGTGCCTGAAAATACTCCAAACAAATTAGATGATTTTCCATGTTACATGCATTTACTCAAATTATATCTCCCATAACAACATTATAAAAATTAAGGGAAAATGCTCCCTTATTGTTGGCTTCATCTGGTTTCATTTCCCATGTCGGCAATCCTAAACTTGCGAGGTAGACTCAAAGCATAGCAGCTGCTGCTGAAGTTGGTGCAAGATCCTCTGTTTTGTCATATCTCCCACTGCTACTAACTGTATGCTATAGGAGTTGCAGACCTAGATGATATTATAAATAGGACTGAAGTTAAGGACTTTTAGGTTGGTACTAAGAACCTATCACACAATACTGAATTCTTTATTTACTATAAATTTGAAAGTACTCCATGTTTTTGTTGTTTCTGTTTCTATTACGTAATAAATGTGATTTTTATGGGAGGAAATGTAAGCACATCTCATCCAAATCTCAGATGAAAATTAAAATTATGGGTAATCTTGAAAACGCAACTAATGGGAAAAGTCAGTCCTTGTACACTTCTGACATCTCTCAACATGACCGAATTCCAAATGGAAGGTTTTCCTCATTAGTTATATCACCTTTGACAATGACTAAGGTAATCTTAGTAACCAGCGATTAGGGATCAGATTATATAATTATATGGGATTGATGGCATTATAATATCATGACAGGCTCTTATATTTATTATGAAATTTAAAGGTAACGTAAAGATTATTCTGACACTTTGAAGCCTTAACTCTTTCTATGCATATTTTCTCACCTTCTCCTACTACTCCAGAGCAACTGACAGTACTGGCATGTTCCCATTTTCTGTCAAACCCTATGCCTGTGCCACAGCATACTTAGTCGGTATTGCAGTGGGATACTGTCTGCATGTATTGAAAACTAAAGCACTTCCAAGATTACACGTGGTAAGTATTTTGTCATCCTTTGCTGCCTGAAAATCAAATCGTATCCTGGATATCATTCGATTTCCGATTTTTTTTCCTTCAAATTTGTTTTCATGTCATATAGAGAATAGAAGTATGAGGTAATTATGACAGCCATTCACATAGCTTGTATTAACCCCAATTTAGTCTTATCTCCTTAAAATCAATCGTTTATCTCCTTCAATATAAAGTGACTTCACAATGAAAAATAGTAACTTAAGATTATTTTATGTTACAGATAGCTTAAATATATAGTAAGGTATGATTAATTGCTGCAAGATTCGAATAGAGAATATTTCAGAGCCCTCGAGATTTTCCATCCTTAACAGTTCTATAGAGCTGTCACAAAAATGTTGATTTAATTTTACTGTCCTTATATTGTGCATGTTCTCGTAAATGGCTTTCGTAACTTGGTCCACTGTATATTCTATTATGTATTGTTGAGTTTTTCCTTCACAATTTCCAATTGTCCTCGATTTTCAGGTGGTTGTTATACTTGGTTGGTTGTCTGCTTTTGCTGTGGGAATGTACATCGTATACGGTCTCTATGGAGCTTTTGATCACCCTGGGCCAAAGGTAGTAGTCCCAGGAAAGCCGCTAAACGTGGCATATGGGTGCTTGAAGAGCCTTGCGTGGACACTAGCACTATCCTGGGTGGTGTTTACTTGTCATTATGGTTACGGAGGTAAGTCAGTGGCTTTAGAGACGGCATCCAGTAGTTTAGTCCTCTGGTAATTGCACAATGTTTGAATATAGATGAATATCTAATATTATAGTTATTATACGGGTGTTTCTATATATATACCGAAAGACTGCCGGATGGTGCCGTAAAACAGCGCCCTCCGTAAATTACAATCGTGATAACTGATACCCCACTCACAACAACGGCAACGAGAATGACACGTGATCTACAAGGCTACAACAAACCTAACAAACAATTACAGTAGCCCGAAGGGCCCCGAATAAACCTGACGCCCCAGCCACACCAACAAGACCGATAACACACCAAACAAGAAATAACACTGCCTCTAATAGCCAAGGATCGATTGGTTTGGAGTCGGTATAGAGTCAGTTTGGTGGTGTGGCTGAGGAATCCTAATTAATTGTGGTGTGGAGGATACCCTTGCTTTTGGTCCCGCTTTTAGTATCACTTAAAGCGTGTTCATTTTCAGAGTAATGTACTGTTCGGGGATATTCAGTAGCGCTGAATATCGAAAAATTTCAATTGGTATCGGCTCTCTTATCAGTGAAAAGAACAATTCAAATTACACAAATTATGATTCATTCGTCAAACAAAAGAAAGAATATTCAACTTAAGCCTTACTAGCGGAAGAAATTATGAATGTAACCGCAACAGCCTAGTTTTTCCTCAAGCTGGTCCTAAAACTGTTTAACAATAGCTACACAATAGGCTATGCAGCATAAATAATGATAATGGTACCATGAGAAATACATGTATCAGTATTCAAGCTAAAGCTTCTGAACTTTATATGACAAATACGAGTAAGTGAATAGTGCCTCAGTAACACCATCAAAACGATTCCACATAGACTCTAAACTGACTGGTTCTTGGACATTCGGGGGGTAATGTAATTGATTTTTTCGGTTTGTTGTCGGTCTCTTTGCCGTTGGTTTAACTACAGAGGTTCTCTTTCAATACAGAAACAGCCGGAGAAGCATTTTTCTTTGCCTAAAACGTATGTTATTTTTGCATGGTCATACAAATGTTATGTTGAAATCGAAAATTTAAATACATAGCACATTGCCTCCTCCTCGTTAAATTAGAGATGATTGTTGGGGAGATTTGGGAACGATGTTCGTATTATACTTTTTTCCCTGAAAATAATATTACATTACATTTATATTATTATATTTAATATACCCTGTGTGCCTCCCATTTTTTGTCCTGTCTAGGTGTGATAAATCGATTCCTTTCTTGGAGTCTATGGATCCCTCTGTCTAGGTTGACGTTCTGTGCATATCTATTACATCCTGCTGTTATCTACCTCTACACTGGAACAATCTCAATGAGCTACAATGCTACCGTCATTCATCAGGTATTATAACAAGCACATTATTTCTTAGTCAGCTTTTTTCTTTTGGAGTTCAAAAGAGGATTGTCCGTATACAAGATGTAATGAGTTTGTTTTTGTGAGGTCAGATCTTAAAGGTCACATGATCATTGGTCGATAAACGTATAATTTGGCTTTAATTGACTTTAAAAATTGTCACTGGTTAATTTTAAAATTATTAAATTATTCATAGAACTTATCTTTATTGTAGTTATTACCTGATATGACATAAAACTACAAATGAAATGAAATGAAACGGCATTTAAAATGTATCTTTTTTTCAGTTGATTCATTGTTTAATTTCTGTTAAAATGATGTTGTGGATGATGATCGGAAAGGGGGGGGGGTGTTTGATGCATTATTCGTGAATTGAATTTCATGAATTCGAATTAAAATAAGTTACACCCTTTTTTCATTTTCTTTCTCTAGAGTTTTCTGTTCGCCGGTTTCGTAACGATCAGCTACACATCAGCATTCTTTCTTTCTTCGTTGATTGAAATGCCAATCAGTAGTCTTCAGAAGATGTTCCTTAAGCGATAATCCACAATTCTCGGGCAGGGGGCAGAGTAAATAATAATAATAGTGAACATTAATAATGCGCCATGTCTGTCAAAAATGACACTCCTAGCGCAGATGTGTGAAAATTGTATAAAGCATGAGATAAGTTATGAAATATATGCATAGATACGGTATTGTAGATGTAAAATGAAAAACAAATTCTGATTTCATATACTTTGAACTGGTATATTTTATTGGAGACTTTTGGGGGCTGTTACTTTTCATGAGATTTTGCAACTAATACATTTTCCAGTAATTTTTAACTCGTACTTTATTTGCAGTATTTTGTAACTCGTAGTTATTGCAATATTTTGCTATTATTACTTGAGCGATTCTAGTTCTTTGTACCTTCTAAATATTGCAGTATTTTGTGACTCGTATTTGTTGTATTGATGTAACAGTCATCCAAATTAGAGCCAATATTATTATTGTTTGTGATAAATTGTGTAACTCGATTTTTGCATGTCATTCGGATCAACTTTTTAAGATCGTTTTTAATGTTTTGAAGTGTGAAATAAAGTTTGTTTATTCCATGCCACGTGTATACTGGCCGAGGATACGACGACCGGGGACCGGGAAGGGGGTAACATCCGGGAAACTCAACATTCAAGTTAAACTAAGGTAATACAAAGTTTTGGTATGGGGTCATGAATTTGGTTTAAATGAACGTATTGGAAGCATATGCGATTCTACAATATTTAATGATCGTTGTCGCGGTTGAACTCGAGTCTAAATTGATGAAATTGTGAATAATATACTCTTTATATATATATACTAGCAGGACCCGCGGAAATCCGCGGGATTCTAGAGGGGGGCGGGGGGTGTAAATAGATATATAGAGAGTTTAAATTAAAACCACCAAGAACTTTATTTGCATTCAGGCCATTAAATAAAATATACATGTTTAGCGTCCCCGCCCGCTTCCTTTTTGGGGGCCGCCTCCTATTTATTTATTTTTTGAAATTTTTTTGATTTTTTTTTTGTTTTTTTGTCGTTTTTTTTAAAGAAAATAAAACAGTGTCCTGTCCGTTTCCTTTTTGGGGGCCGCCTCCTATTTTTTTTTTTTTTAATTTTTTTTTAATTTTTTTTTTATTTATTTATTTTTTTTTTTTTGAAAGAAAAAAAACATGAAAAGCACTGCTAAAATTATTTCTGATATTAAAAAAGAAAAAATACCAATTGTCGGCCGCCATCTTGAAAAAAAGCCCGAATGTCAGGGAAAATGTATGGAGCGGCCATTTTGAAAGAAGAAAAAAAAAAAGGGCCTCCTCATTCCCATTTTTCGAAAAAAACAGGACGCTAAACATGTTTTTTTTAAAATCTGGCCTTATATAAAAATTTAAAAAACGATCCAACTGTACCGGTAGTTATTCTTCAAGCCACTGGAACTGCGTAGAGTTCCGTAGTGTGGCGTACCGACTACGCAGAAATTAGGCTACGTATTAATGAGAAAATAGTCCCTGCGTAGGTTATGCGTAGGCTGGCGTACAGGTTTGCTTATGGTTGCTTACTGTGTGGAAAGCTTTTACTGCTTTGTCGATCTGGCGTAGGGTAGCATACTGTTGCGTAGGCATGTAGCGTAGTGTTGCGTATGTAAAAAGGCGTACTTTCTACGTCAAGTTTCTACGCCGAAAGTACGCGAAAAAAATTAAACATGTTGAATTGTTTTCGTTCATCTTGCGTACCCAGTTCCGTCCCTCAGCATATAGTAATGTAGGCCAGCGTAGTTGGTACGCAACACTATGCAACTCTACGTATTGACCCCACGCCAATTAGTGACCCGCAAGTGTCACAAATAAAGTATTAAAAATATGCTCATCTGACCCTAATTAAACGCCTAAAACCCCTGAGCTTTCGGGGGTTTATGGACCCTTGAAACCCGTGGACCCCACGCCTATACACTCAACTCGCTGCAATCTGATCTCTCCCCCCCCCCCCCACCAACTTTGAAGAACGTAACCCCTGAGCTTTTTGGGGTTTATGGCCCCTTGAAACCCGGGGACCCCACGCCTATATTATATATACACTCAACTCAGGACCCGCGGAAATCGCGGGATTCTAGAGGGGGGCGCAGGCAGAAAATTAAGATTTTCATTTCGGGGGCTCTATTTCAAATTTTTGGAAAAAATTTTGTGGGCTACTTTTTTCAACTTTCGGGGGCTCTTTTTTCTGGGGTTACTTTTTCATTAATTCATCAAAGGATATAGGCCTTCACTTTGTTGAGATTTGTTTAGAAGGCTCAGGTTTCAGGCTACCTACTTCATAATTGCCTATTTAAAAAAAAAAAAAAAAATTCTAGTTTCAATAACTAAGTTTTCATGCATTGATTTGATGCAAGAACTGTAACATAATATACCCTAGATTGTGATTATTTCTGACCATGAATTTCGATAATCATTCTTCAAAGTAAAATTTTCACAAGAAAATCAGGTAGTCGTTTAAAAACGTAGACATGAGTAATACTTTTACTAATTCTAAGCTCAGGTTTCGTAAATCTATTCACGAAACTATATTGAAATCGCGGCAATAATGATGCAAACCAACAGATAACAATTTCAAAGTGTCAAATCTCTTCGACTCGAGCTCAGCTCAGCTTAACTCACACACACTACAGCGTAACTCCATAGCTCGAACACCGGCGCCGCAGGCGTCGGACGCCTGCGGTGCTCGGTGCCGGTGTTGGAGCTTCCTGCAAGCTCGTCTCAACTCACACACACTGAACAGAAGCCCTGCACTGTATGAAGGCAGCTTGCGACTAAACTGTCAGTCCAATGGTTTTCTTGTGAAAACTTTCCTTTAGAAAATGATAATAAAAATTTAGTATAGGTCTAGACTATATGGCCGTAGTAATCACAAAATAAGCTTTGATTTCATACCTCCATTCACGAAAACTATATCAAAATCGCGGCAATCATGATGGAAATAGGTCTCTAAGTTTGGACGTGGACGGGATCGAAGCTTCGTGTGTATCTCTGCGGCTTGTGCAGCTACTACAAAGGATATCCTATACAAAGATGCTTTACTCGGGTAAGCCCGACCGTGTGCATCGTGCATTTAATACGCGACTTAATGTGAGTTGCTCGTCGTCTGTCGTGTGTCTACGGATGTCATGTTGAATATCCATGAGGTGTCTCTGTCGTCACGCATATCCTGCATTATGCATATCGCGTCTGTTTTCGCCCTGGACGTCGACACGGAGGAGGAACTCGGGCGGAGTATAGCCAATTCCACAGAGTAGACTCTCCCCCGGACGATGGCACCGGGCACCGGGACCCCGAGGGGAGGGTTCAGGAGGAGATAGCTGCACCAACTTGGGTCGGCGATCTCATTAAAAAACAATAGAATACAAAGGCTGGCGGAGACGTCGCGCCCCCCGCGGAGCCTTAGCGTATTATTATTATAGATATATATAGCTCCCTCTCAAGGTTGATATTACTTTAGCTTCAAAACAATGTTTCTTGACTAAAGTCTACCGATTTTCTTTTCCCGTTTGGAAACTATATATATCAGTACTGCATATTCCGAGATTTTAATATGGTCGCAGCTACCATTGTATGGCCGTAGGCGCTTTTTGAAATTTATCCGGAGTACCGATAAGTTTGATACCTAAATTTCTTGAAATCCTTAGCGTTTTAGAGCCCAATTTTTTCAAAGTTACTTATTCTATCACTAGGTTTCACAATGGTAATGCCAATTTTAAAATTTATAATCCAATCCTGTTGAAATATTACCAAAACTTTGTATTTAAAAGGGGTGGATCTAGCTTTTTGCCAAGGGGGGGGGGGGGGGGGGCTTGACCCAGTGGCGGATCCAGGATTTTCCCAAAATCGCGCCGTTTTACTGTTTTACTTTTGTCTTTCCCCCTTTTTTTTCCTTCTCCCTTTTTTTTTCTTTTCTTCTTCACTTGGCCGCCCAAGGTGCGCGCGGCGGGGGGGGGGGGGGGGGGGGGGGGGGGGTTAAACCGCCGAACCCCCTAGATCCGCCCCTATTAAACATAGAGTCTTACAATAAAATAGGTCTTCCATGCGACAGAAGCCCATCGAAGCCCTATTGCACAGATTGTGTTATCAGAGGGAAAGTGTCAACATTAAGACTAGGGTTTACATAAATAGTGCCATCTTGCGATCAAGTCATGCTATATAATGCATAGAAGCAATACCCCCAATTTGCCTTTCTAGCTTGAGATCAGTTTGTAAGCATAAACACTTGCCCGTCTTATAATAAATATAATAATAATAATTTAAGATTTGTATAGCGCACATATCTGCCTATAATGGCACTCAAGGCGCACAAAAAAGATTCACTATTAACATTTCAAATACAAACAAACAAATTAAAGTTAACAAACTGATAATGAATCAACAAATCAAAACACAAATGCAAATTACAGATTCAGTAAGAAATTGAAATGTTCATGAGAGTTAATCATATTTTTCCTTCATAAGGTAGGTCTTTAGATTCTTGTGGAATAGTTCAATTGTTTTGCCTAGTTTAATGCATGAAGGGAGTGCACTCCGCGGGCTGTATGGTTTGAACTGTAAGACTATGCACCGTATACTGCACTCCATAGGTTCTGAACTAGTGCTGCTCCCGACACAACTAGAGACTGGCAAAGATAGGCTATGTTCACATGACTTATGTGTACAATGTCAAATAATATAGGGTCTGTGCTTGCAGACAATTACGATACGATCGTTTTTGAAAGAGTTCAACCATTATCATGTTATACGTACATGATTGTAAATACAAGGTGTGGTATTATGTGCACATTAATAAACATAACAACCAATAACATAACAACCAGGAAACAAAATTATGATTAATATTTTCAAGATATGAACGAATAATTATAGGATATTCTTTATCAACCATTTTTTAAACAAAATGACCGTGTACTGAAAAGATTGTTTTGTTCTTCTTGTAGATGCTATGTGACTTTTCGTGATCTTTTTGCAAGCAGTGCCTTATGAAGGAAATGAAAGATGAAAGGATAGACAGAGAGAGAGGGGGTGGGTGAGTGTGTGTAAAAAGAGAGAGAGAGAGAGAGAGAGAAAATGAAAGAAAATGTGTGTGTGTGTGTGTGTGTGTTTGCATGTGTGTGTGTGTGGGGGGGGGGGGCAGACAAACTAAAGGAAGGGGTGCTGGGAAGGAGATAGAAATGGAGATGGACTGGACCTACGTTTACCATTAGTCTGAAGAGAGCGAAGGTCAAATAATCTGAAAAGAAAGCATACAGCTCATTATGGCGTACTAAAAACGTCACCTCATTTTATCCATACAATTTGACCCCTTTTCGATTTCCTATAGACCATCTAAGACATTAAAAGAAAAGAAAAAACACAAGTTGTCAGCCTAACTATAGCGGCTGGGTGTATCATCAAGAGCCCCTAAAAAGTGATCTCCACGTATAGGATCGATTTCATCCCATCTAATTCACGCCCCAGTTTTGTCAAAATGAAGTACAAGTGAAATGAATATTGTCACAGAAATATAATAACTACAAATGTGGGAAGGAGGTGTGAAAATGCCCTTGCC